ATTCTTCCAATTCCATTTTATGAACCTTGTGAATGGGCTTAGTGGCAAGTGATGCGGTTTCTTGAGTAAGCGCATGTGACACCGTTTCAGCGAATGTTCTTTTAGGCAGTACAAGTGCCGCACGTTTAGTATCTACGTCTCGTATACCATTAATGAAGCTTTGTATTTTTACGCGTTCGATATAGTCTACCGATGCATCTGCATTTGCTAAATGTGCCAATCTCTCAACATCAGCTGCGAAATTCTGGAGAGTCTCACCTGAGTTTTGGCATCGATTTTGTAGTTCGATTTGGTATATTTGTTGCCTGTGTTGACTTCCAAATCGCCTTTCTAATGCGGACATCAAGGTATCATAATTTTCTCTTTCATACTGGGGTATGGTTTGTAATATTTCTGCTGCGGAACCTTTCAACGAAATAAATAACGCAGCTACTTTATCTTCGGTATTCCAATTATTAGCCACCGCTGTTTTTTCGAATTGAAGCTTAAATATTTGCAATGGGACACTTCCGTCAAACATTGGAGCTTTGTGCTTTGGAGCGCATATTGGTGCTGCTATGCTATGTACTTGTAAATCACGAACACGACTGCTTAGTTGTAGCACTTCGGATTTAAGCTCCTCTTCGTCCCTCTTCAGATCCCGTAGCTTATCTTCAAACTTTTCCACTTGTTGGCGTATTTGCGCATTATCACTTGTTAACTGTTCTTGCAGCTGCATAAATCGTGCCTCCATTTGAGATGAATTTTCTCGCAGCTGAACCGACATTTGTGACATTGCTGTTGAGTTCTCTGTACTCATTTGTTTAATGGCAGCTAATATCGCATTCGTATCTAGTTTTAGTGAAGAATCTGCTTGTGTCGATTTTAACTCTGTCTTAGAGGAGCTTTCTGGAACTTCGAAATCAAATTCGTCTGCGTCTATACCCTCTGCCTCCATTGCATCGCGTAGTCGACTTTGTAAATTTGCCTTTGATCCATCAATAGCTAAATTACGTGCTTGTAGCTCGTTCTTCAATTGTGGAATTTTTAAATCAGCCAATTTAACCATTTTTAACACAGTTTGTTGACAATCCCACTTCTGACACCAATTGTTACGTTTTTATTAATCGTAATATATATAAATATAACTAAAATTATTAAATTAAAAATATTTATGAACTTATGTATGGTTTACAAATTATCTTTGGGCTTCCGTTCGAATCGCGGGATTGTCAACAACTCAACTACTCTTCGACTAGACAGCAGACATCTTCTTCTTTTCTGTTTTGTTATTTTCTTCTTTCTTGCCAACTCGCCGTGTTGCCGTGTTGTACGATGTTATTGCCAGACTAGATTTGTTACAATACTTATGACTACAGAAATATATGCGTTATTGAATTTATTCTCACTCCTTCTGGCCAAGTAACACTGGCCTAGGTACCAGCGGTAACAAGCCGCTTGATAACTTGTTCTTGATTGCATCAGTAGGTTTAGGATGCATGCTCGTATCAGGCAGGGATAAATACACACACTCACAAGACAAGTATTACGTCTCATTTCACCTGACGATCCTGTCTACATCTGAACGGGCTAACACATTACATGGTGATCCAGCAACTACATTGATTGAATATTGCCCATACTTCCATTCTTACATTACAAATGTAACGAACCTTTCTGGCCAGGGTGTTGCTCGCCGGATTCCAGGTCCAGTCCTACAATAAATTTATTTGATAGGAACAGTGGAAAGTGTGAATACACGGTGGACGGTGACGTTGGTGCGATGATGTGGTCCCCTTCTTCGGTGAAGTTAGTTGGTTTGGCGTAGAAATGTTAATTTCAACGCCCCTGACAAAATGTTTGAAGAAATGTGAATTTGTTTTCTATACAATATGTACGCTACTTGGTGCTAACCCAGATCCTTAATCTGTGTTAGCTTGGTGGCCAATTCTTATGTGTAAAGTAGTTTGAGCACTTGTAACCCAAACTACTTGAATTTTCTATGTTGATTAGTTTGAGCACTTGAAACCCAAACTAATCGATGCGAGAAAGTAAGAAAGTTATAATTGATTTCGTTTCTTTTTCTTTTCCTTCTGAACTTTATTAAAATTATTTCTTATATTTATACAAAAATTATTTTATAAAAAAGCTATTAAATTATGCATTAATTAACAATGAATATTAATGCATAATTCACAAATAAATAAATTAGCCTACGCTGTGCTGACATAATTATGGGCCAACATATTACACACTTTCTTCAGTGCATTGACCAACAAGAAAAGCTGATAATACAAAATTGCACTTTTCGTTGGTCAATGACTGGTCGCAGTGTTGGCCCAAATAATATGTAAACACATGTAACCAAATATCAAAATAAAAAACAAAAATATAAAATAAGCCAAGGTATTCAAAGTATATTCCTAAATTATTGTCGAAACGTGTTACATTCACTGAATTCCCTAATACCAATGGCAGGAATAATAGAGATAATAACATTGTGCACAGTAATGAATTAGACAGTGGCCGTGAATACTTTTTAGGTAGCTCGTCTTGATCTGCGCCTTCGTGTGGTGTTTTCGAATTCGTTTTTGTAAAACTTTTTGAAAGTTGTTCATCAGAAACAGGAGATTGGTTATCGGCTGGAAACAGAGGCGCTAGTCTTGTCAAAGGACTTCTTAGAGTTCCTGATGCCATTTTAACATCAACCACGCGAACAAAACCGTCATCTCCCTTATATACCTCTAAAATACGTCCAAGCGGCCATTTTAATGTAGGAACATTGTCTTCCTTGATGATTACAAGGGTACCTTTTTTTATATTTGGGTTGGCTGATATCCATTTGTGTCGACATTGTAATTCAGTGAGGTACTCGGTTTTCCAACGTTCCCAAAAGTCCAATTTGAGGCGAGAAACTAATTTCCATCTTGTCACCAAATTTATATTTCCTGATTGGACATTTGCATCTGCCATTGCTGTGAGCGGTTCTCCGAATAAGAAATGACCAGGTGTTAGTGCTGACAAGTCATTCGGATTACTCGACATAGGTGTCAATGGTCGAGAGTTCAGTATTGCTTCGACTTCTAGTACCACAGTCTCTAGTTCCTCATATGTTAGTGACGTGTATCAATAAGTGTTTTGCTGATTTGACTGCTGCTTCCCACAGTCCACCGAAGTGTAGTGCACGAGGAGGTATAAATTTAAATGTTATTCCTCTTTCATTACATTCGTTAATTATCTTCTCTTGTGCCTTGTTTGCTTGAATTGAGTCTGCAAGTTCAAGTAATTGATTGCTTGCTCCTACGAAATTTGTGGCATTGCCACAAAACAAATTTTTGCAGTGTCCTCTTCGAGCAATAAAACGTTTCAGCGATCCGATGAATGCATCTGTGGTTAAGTCGCTAACTACTTCGAGGTGAACTACCTTAGTTGTAAAACAACAGTACACAGCAATGTATGCCTTGTGTGGTTTCTTCCCTCGGATTCTGTAATGTATCCAAAAAGGTCCGCAAAAGTTCACTCCAGTGGTGAGGAATGGTCGCCCAGGTTGTACTCTTGTCGCAGGCAAATTACCCATCAGTTGTTCATAAAATCGTGATCTTACTTTAGTACAACGTACACAATGTTGTACTACTGATCTTGCCATCAATTTGCCCTTAATTGGCCAGTATCGTTGACGCATGTTAGCTAGGAGAGACTGCGGACCACAGTGCATGTATTTCTTATGGACTTGTTCCATTATTAATTTGACAATGGGGTCGTTATAAGGCAACAACATAGGATGTTTTGCGTCATACGATAATGAGACTGCATCCAAACGTCCACCAACTCTTGTGATGCCCGTATTATCAATAAAACGTGCCAGTGATGCCAATGCACTGGACTTATTTATTCTTCCATCAGATTTCATAATTTTGATTTCATTTTTGAATTCTGCATATTGAATACTTTTGATGATGACCTGATGTGCTGCATCTAGATCATCTGGAGTCAAAAAATTGCTCGAATGATCATTTTGTTTTCTTCTGGTTCTTTTTACGAATCTTAATATATACGATAATATCCGTTGAAGTCTTCCAAATGAGTTGTTGTGTCGTATTGAGTACATTAACTCTCCAGGATTTGCTGTGCCTTCAACAACAGACAATGTAGATACTTGAGTTTCCTTCTTTCGTTCAGGATCAATGAGGATTTCGGATTTTAACGCTGATGATGGTTTTGAAGGCCACAGTTCTTCCCGACCATGCAAGAACATAGGTCCATAAAACCACATACTTGATGACTGTAGTTTATGGGGTGCAAGGCCTCTTGATAAAATGTCAGCTGGATTGTGTTCCGAACTGACGTGGCGCCACTGACTTGTGGCTGTTAATTGATGAATGTTGCTTACTCTGTTTGCAACGAAAGTGTGAAACTTTGATGATGGAGAGTTGATCCATGATATCACTATTTGTGAATCACACCAAAAGAACGTCTGGTAATTTCTTATTTGTAGGTCGTTCCACAGCTGCACAAAGTTCGAGACGAGGTAATGTCAACCTTTTCAAAGGTGCAACCCGAGATTTGGCGCACAATAGTCGTACAATGATTTGACCATTCTGAAGTGTTGATCGCAAATACGCCGCAGCGCCATATGCCTTTTCTGATGCATCTGTAAAGATGTGTAATTGAATATTGGCAGGAACTTCGCCCTTGAAAATATGACGAGATATCTGCAGACAATTTACTTTTGTCAAATTGTTCCGGAACTCTAACCACTGTTTATGTAATTCAGTCGGCAGTTTTTCATCCCAATCCATCTTTAAATTCCATAATTCTTGAATAAAGATCTTTGCCATCACCACAACTGGTGACAAAAGTCCTAGTGGATCAAATAGCCTTGCTAAATCTGAGGTTGCACTGCGCTTCGTCGTGCTGCAAACAGGTTCCAATTTAACCTTGACGCATAAACTATCAGATTTTGGACACCAAGATAACCCAAGAGTTTTTGTTGTATCGTTATTATTTTCTAAATCTAAATTGACTTCTAGGTCATCGTGTGGAATTCCTTTTAGTAAACTTGGATGATTTGTGCACCATTTTCGCAATTTAAAACCGCTTGCTGTCAGTATTTTGTTTAATTGACTCTGAGTTTCCAACAATGTTCTCAGACTATCTGCCCCATGTAAACAGTCATCTACATAGAAGTTTTGTTTGAGAGCAGATGCACCGAATGGATAATTTTGCATATTGTCATCAGCTAAAGCTTGCAAACATTTGGTTGCTAGATACGGTGCTGATCTAGTACCATATGTTACTGTGTTGAGTTCAAAGTACTTTATAGGTTGACTTGGTTCATTTCTCCAAACTATAAGCTGACATTGTCTGTCTTTTGGATGTACAAGTATTTGTTGGTACATCTTTTCAATGTCTGTTGTAAACACATAACGAGGAAGACAGAATCGTAATAAAATAGATAGTAATTCACTTTGAACAGTTGGTCCGATGTGTAGTAAATCATTGAGAGATTGTCCTGATGTTGTTTTGGATGATGCATCAAATACCACACGTAACTTGGTGGTGGTACTGTCGGGTTTAAGCACATAATTGTGTGGTATAAAATAATGTGGTGACATAATCCTTTCAATATCTATTTCGGTCATATGTCCCAATTTTTCATATTCACCTAAAAACTCTACGTATTGTGATTTGAGGTGACTATCGTTTGAAAGTCTACGCTCTAGTGCTAGAAATATATTTGTAGCAATGTCTTTCGAATCTCCCAAAGCGAATCTGTCATTTATAAAAGGAAGACGTACGACGAATTATCCCGTAACATTCTGATATGTAGTTTGAGTGAATTGGGCTTCACATTGTTGTTCTGCTATTGACAAGACCTTTGAGTGAGTATCAACTTCTTCAACCTTCCAAAATTGTTCTACTGCATTTTCTAAACTATCTTCTGCAACCATTGTATAACTACCACATGTTGCAACCATTGTGTTACCATTTTGAATTTTTCCAGATACGATCCATCCGAGCACAGTGTTCTGTAGAATTGGTAGTTCCCTTGAAAGTTGTATTTGACCAGGACTTAGGAGTTGATGATAAAATTCTGCTCCAAGCAAC